CTCCAAATTTCCCCCCCCCCCCCCCCCCCCCCCCTTCTTATGGCTTTATTCATCTCTCTTCTTTGTAGGTCTGTACGCCATCGTGAAGGATTTCATTTCGAATCTATCCAGACGATGCTTTCCATGGAGGTCTAGAGGTAATCGTGAAGTCTGTTAGATGGAATCAATGGTGAAAATTTAAACTGGAGTAGGATTGGAGGGCTTGGGTTAAAAAAGACCGGCTAAAGAGGTTGGGGAAGTGTTGAAAGAAGCCAAGAGGATTAGAAGCACTGGGGGTTTGGTTGTGAATGTAAAGGTGGCGGGTGTGTATTATGATTTAACACCTGATTTCTGAAACTTTTTAACAAGTTTGATAAATATGAAATTGTATTATTAATGTACTGTAATTATGTATTTTTTCCTAGCTTTTCGATCACTTCCGATCATTGATATCGTAGAATTTTGATACCGTTGAAAAGCCCACAATATCATCTTCAATTATGACCCAAAAAATAGGACTCAAACAAGGGCTATGAATAGTTTATTTGTGGGCCCTTGTGTGGGGGAATAGCCCTATAAATTATCTATCTGAAAACGAAGGAATCTCCCTCGATGCGCACCCTGCGCAATATAGCACCCCCACGTTGAATTGTGGGCCAACGCGAGAAAATGACAATTAAGAAAGAATGGAAATTTTGAAATTAGCTGACTGTTTACAAATCACGTCCAAGAAACTCTCCAAATTCCACCAAAAAGAAACCCATCTACCAAAAAAATCCCAATAGAAACCCTTATATTTTCATCTGCTTTTTCCATTCTTTGAGTTGGGTGCTATTAAAGTGTAAGTCATTTTACTGTTTGTTTAGCTGACCATTTCCTGAAAATGTTGGATGATTTATTTTTGTTCTCTATACAGTTGCATTTTTTTTTTCCTTTGTTGGATTTAACTTGATACGTAAAAAAATGATCTTTTTGCTCAAAATCATGTTAATCCATGTTCTATAATGCGAAATTAAACATGCACGTCGTTTTCATGTTGAAATAATTAATGGTTTGTTCTTTTTATTGTTGACTTCAGTGATCAGTGGTCCAAATGGAGGAAGCAGACGGTTCCAGTGGTAATCTCTTCGTCTTTGATTCTCGCCGTACACTGATTCACACATATGTATATGTATAGGTTTTTGTATCATTTTATAAAGTAAATGTCATTTTACGTTTTAAATTTATTTGTCTCTTCGTGTTGATTTTGGTTGCTTTTATTTGGTTGTTCAAGTGTTATCTATCTTATTTGGAAAACTATGGCTTGGAAAGAAAGAAAAAATCAGGCCTTCTTTTTTATACTATCAATTAGATAACAATTTTGTTGATGATTTATTACTGGCTACTTCATTGATCTATTTATGTTTGCTTGCTTTTTGGTCTTTAAGAGCATCTCCAAGAGCCTCATTACGTGGATGTTGATTTGATGATTTAATCTACTTGTCGATGGGTTTAAGGAAATCTCACTTGCACGAAAATTGTTTCTATTTGATTCGTGCTTGTTTTACTATCTTATCTTGTTGCTTGAAATCATACTTGAGATGGTGTAGGCACATCCAATGCATAATCTAAGTTGTTGCTCATTAGGAAAATGTTAAATAGGTACACCCATAGTATTAATAGCAATTTTCTTGTGAAAGAAAAGGATCTATTGTTTGTCCCAGATCAGAGTAAATACATAAACAAATTTATCACCTTATTAACACCATTAGCTACCACAGGGATGCAAGCTCCTCTAGAAAAATGTATTTTGAAATAGAGATATAATAGAGAATGTTTGGTTAAAAAATAAGGAAAAATTTTGGATTTACGTGTAATATTATTTTATTGAAAAATGTGTTGTTGAAATTGTGTCAAATCACATGTATTTTGATGGAAAAAATGGGGTCAAACAAGAGGTCAGTTGTAACTTTTTAATTTCTAGTTGTTCTTTCTTCAGTGCTTCCATTCTCAATGCTATGCTCATTACTTTAGACCTATTAAAATCTCCCCAGATTTCGTGATCAACACAACAGTTTCTATTTTGGTATCTGCATTTAAGCCCACGAATAGTTAAGTGATATTTCATTTTTCTTATCAAAGAGAAAAATACGTATAACGAAGTCCTTTCTACAATCTTTGGATTTGAATTTTTAACTATAGGATTGTGTGACAAAAACCGGAAAAGGTTACATGCTGATGAAGGAAGTGGGCACAGCCATGCAGCAGTCGATTCTGGTTGGCATTGTGAAACTAATTTGCGAGGCCAAGAAACTAGTTTTATGGTTGTAGGTCGGTCTGATCCCTTGTCCATCAACAATTTGGCAAAAGATTTGGATGCTGGCAATTTTGGAAGCGTAAGTAAATATATGAGGGAGCTTCTTGTGCAGAAGAAGCAGGCATTAGATGCTCGCTATACAATGGATCCTGTACTTCCATATAAATGTTCAGTTGTACAGAATAAAGAGGTACCACAGGCTACTGGACTAGCTCCTACCGTTGTCATTAACTTAGAGGATGATGATGATGATGATGATGGAAGTAGTGCTGCTGTCAAACAGTTTGTTCCATCTGCACAGCTCCTCTCTTCGTCTGAGCCTGTTTTTATCGATTTGGACGATGAAGAAGAAATAAGTGAGAATCATTTATGTTCCTACCGAGGATTTGAGTTGAAGAAGTCTGTTGACAACCTACTTATGGAGGACTTTGTGGTAAGGAACTTCTGATTTTTTGTCAGGTGGTCAATTTTTCTCATATAACTGTTTTGAAGTGACCTTACTATTCATACATCTATTCAAAGAATTTTTTGTAAAGATGATTGAGTTTTGTCCCATTGAAGTAATGACAAAAATAGGAGAAACACTCATTGTATTTTGTTGACGATTATGGAATAAAATAAAACTTTCCATATCTACAGTTGTGTTAAGAAAATTCATTGTTGTTCCATTGAAGTAATGACAAAAATAGGAGAAACACTCATTGTATTTTGTTGACGATTATGGAATAAAATAAAACTTTCCATATCTACAGTTGTGCTAAGAAAATTCATTGTTGGATATGTAGCTTTATTAGTCCACTCAATTGTTGTCGTCGTTGAAATTATGTTGAAACTCAAAATTCTAGAGGAGACGGATTTTTTGCTGGTGAAAATGAACTAATGAACAATCCGTTGCAGGAAAGGGACGATATTAAAACTCAACATTCTAGAGGAGATGGATATCCTGCTGGTGAATATGAATTCTTTAACAATCCGTTGCAGGAACGGGACGATATTGAAACTCAACATTCTAGAGGAGATGGATATCTTGCTAGTGAATATGAACTCGTTAACAATCAGTTGCAGGAACTGGACCATATTGAACCTCAAAGTTCAAGAGGCGATGCATGTTTTACTGGTGATAATGAAATGATTAATAATCAGTTTCTGGAAGGGGGCTATGTAGAAACTCAAAGTTTTAGAGGAGATGGATATCATGCAGGTAAAAATGAACTAATTAACAATCACCTGCAGAAATGTGGCTATGTCGAAACTCAAAGTTCTAGAGGAGATGGATATCTTGCTGGTGAAAAGAAACTGATTAACAATCAGTTGCAGGAACGGGAATACGTTGAAACTCAAAGTTCAAGAGGAGATGCATATTTTGCTGATAAAAATGAATTGATTAACAATCAGTTGCAGGAAAGGGACTATGTTCTAACTCAAAATTCAAGAGGAGATCCATATATCGATGGCGCAAATGAACATATTAACAATCAGTTGCAAGAAATGAACCATGTTGAAATTCAATGTTCAAGAGGAGACACATATATTGCTGGTGAAAATGAACTGATTAACAATCAGTTGCAGGAACCGGACAATGTTGAAACTCAAAGTTCAAGAGGAGATGCATATCTTTCTGGTGAAAATGAACTGATTAATGATAAAGGTGTATATGTCGGCACAGAGGACGACTTCGAAATCAAGGAAGGGGATAGACAGTCAGACACCTCTTCTGATTGTCTGGCTGGTATTTGGAATGAGATGACAGTTGCATTAGAGTGTTCAAAGGTAATCTAAGTCTATTTTCATTATGTTCTACTAATTGATATTATCGTTATTATAACTGAACTTTGCTTCTTCAATACTGATTGACTTGTATTTTTGTTTGTTCTAAATACATGAATGATTTTTGGTGTCTGTTCTCTGAGCAGCACTTTCTTTCTTACGGCCGATTATTGGATAGTGCTAAACAACATTAAAATTGAAAAAGAACCTTAAATTTTCGATTATATTTTGTCTATTCCAGTCCATTATTGTGAAACATACTCTTAAAAGTATCATTATGCATCTAGAATTACGTTGTTAAGAAATCCATTTATTTTCGCTAAATTTCTTGATCATTGTTAAGTTCCTTCATCATTAACTCGTTCTTTTTGAAATGTGATAGGATTTTGCTGCAGATCCTCTATTGGATGAAAGTGAAGCTGAGACCAGAGGAGACTGCGAACATTCCTTTATAATGAAAGATGATATCGGTGAGGTTTGCCGCATATGTGGAATCATAGGGAGAAGGATTGATACAATTATTGAGTACAATTTCTCGAAGGTTGGCTCTTCTCTTTTTCTTATATCAATTTTCTTTTTATTTATTATCTTTCTGGTTATCTTGTGAAGTTTGGGAGTTGATATACCTCTGTTATAATTAATGTATTAGGTGAAATATTTCTTTTTGTTGACAATGATGCACCTGTAGGTTGTGGATCCCTACTTTTTCTTGTTGGGATTTATGGACCTTTCGTTGTTGTATTTCTACATTTGCCAAAGTAAATTTGTTACAAATTCATATCTGCTATTCCATTGGTGTGCTTTCCTTTCTTTTACTTTGTAAATATAGCGACAATGTCGCATACCCAATTTTGTTTTATTCTTGCTTTATTTCAGTTTCTGTATTTCTAAATTTTACACGATAAGTTTGATATACATTAAATTTGCTTCAATCATTAGTTTTCTTTTCTGCTTTCACTTTGCAAATATAGTGGCAATGTGGCATAGTTGAATTCAATTCCTTCATTTGAAACTCCAAAACAACTAATTTGAGTGCCATTTATTTTTATGGGATTTTTTGATCAAATATATACATGTGCAAGTGACATCCATCCTTTTACAACATCAATAATTAGCCAAGAATTCTTTTTAATTATTCAATGTTAGATTTTTAGCGTACATCTCGAGAGGACAGAGTCGTATGGACTGATTACACAGGGATTCAATGGATCTTGATCGAATCGAGTTAGTTCTGCTCCAGGCGGGGAAGATTTCAAATGCTAGAGGAAAAAATAGATACAGCCTTGTTTATTCTACCTGCTATTTTATATTTCTTATCTAAAATATACCTCAACCAGTGTCCACATTTGATCCAATTCATGTTTGTCTGATTCAACTGATTTCCTTTTTCTGATTTATGTCCAGGGTACGAAGAGTACAAGAACTTACAGATATGAAGGACGGACTACCAATGACCTGGACCAAACTGGAATCCTTCCTGATGGGTTTAAACCATCTGCTACTGATTTCTCTGTTGTTGACATTTACCCACATCCACGGCACAGAAGGGAGATGAAGCCCCATCAAGTTGAGGGATTTAATTTTCTTGCAAGCAATCTGATGACGGATAATCCGGGTGGATGTATTATGGCTCATGCACCTGGTTCGGGAAAAACCTTCATGATAATCAGTTTCCTCCAGAGCTTCATGGCCAAATATCCATTTGCAAGACCACTTGTTGTGCTACCAAGGGGGATTTTGGCAACCTGGAAGAAAGAGTTCCTTAGATGGCAAGTGGAAGACTTGCCTCTATACGATTTGTACTCGGTTAAAGCAGATAGCAGATCTCAACAACTGCAAGTTTTAAGTGATTGGGCAAAGGAGAGGAGCATTTTGTTCTTGGGGTATAAGCAGTTCTCTTCCATTGTGTGTGACAGTGGTAATGGCCAAGCTGCTATATCTTGCCAAGAGATATTGCTGAAGTGTCCTACTATTCTAATTCTGGATGAAGGGCACACTCCAAGAAACCAGGACACGGATATTTTGACCTCCCTCGAGAACGTTCAGACACCGTTAAAGGTGGTTCTCTCTGGAACACTGTACCAAAACTATGTCAAAGAAGTCTTCAATATTCTAAATCTGGTTCGTCCTAGGTTTCTGAAACTGGAGACTTCTAAAGCAATCAAAAGGCGAATCTTGAGCAGGGCAGAAATTTCAAGTACAAGGAGCTTGCCGAAAAAGGTCACAGAAAATGATTTCTATGATTTAATAGAGCACACAATATCAAAAGATGCTAACTTAATGAGGAAGATGACTGTAATACGAGATCTGAGGGAAATGACAAGAAAAGTTTTACACTACTACAAGGGAGACAACTTGGATGAACTTCCAGGTCTCGTTGATTTCTCTGTCTTTCTTCAGCTCAGCCCCAAGCAACAAACTGAAGTTCAAGAGCTTAGAAACATAGGCAGAAAGTTCAAAATAAATTCAGAAGGAAGTGCAATTTATGTTCATCCACGGTTGAAGAATTTCTCAAAGAATTCTGGGGTGAGAGACAGAGTTGATGAGGAGAAAGTTGATTCAATTTTGAAGAAACTTGATCTGAGAGAAGGTGTGAAGGCAAAATTCTATCTGAATCTTCTCCAGCTTTGTGAATCTAGTGGTGAGAAGCTTTTGGTCTTCAGTCAGTATCTCCTGCCTCTTAAATTCTTGCAGAGACTTAGTGTAAAAGTGAAGGGTTATCGTCTTGGCAAGGAAATGTTCATGATAACTGGCGATTCAAATTCTGAGACGAGGGAGACTTCTATGGAGAGATTCAACAATTCATCAGATGCTCGTGTGTTCTTTGGTTCGATCAAAGCCTGCGGTGAAGGGATATCTCTTGTCGGGGCTTCGCGTATTATTATATTGGACGTTCATTTGAACCCATCAGTAACCCGCCAAGCAATAGGACGTGCATTTCGACCTGGCCAGATGAAGAAGGTATACACATACAGATTGGTTGCTTCCAACTCGCCAGAAGAGGATGATCACATAACATGCTTTAAAAAGGAATCCCTTGCAAAGATGTGGTTCGAATGGGATGAATATAATAGGCACCAAAATTTTGAAATGGAGACTATAAATGTGAAAGATTGTGGGGATTTGTTTTTGGAAAGTGAACAACTGAATGAAGATGTCATTGTTCTCTTCAAAAGGTAAGCAAACTTCGTTTTCTTGAATGCTTGCATTCTGTATTTGCTTTTATATTTGCTTTTGCACTTTTTCAGGTAAATGATGACAAAATTCTGAGGTTCATCGAGGAATAGTCTATCCTGGTCATGGAACTCGAGATGAATTTCTTTGCCACAGAAATTGTCGAATTGATCTTGGAAAGGTAGAAGGTTGCAACTGAGAATGAGATCACTTCAGTTTCTACATCTTTGAATTTTCTTGTTTCGTTCTGTGCAGCAGGCTGGACATAATCTAAAGCAGATGCTGTGAATACAAACTTCAGATTATATGTTTGCAAGCTACTTCATATTAACTTGCTTATAGAGTTTTCTTATATTATTTATTGGTTGAGTTCTATTAAATTATATCGCCGAAAACAAATTGCAAGGTTTCATCCATCCTTCCAATCCTAATTATGTATGTCGGGTGAAGAAAGGATAAAATGGACTCTTAAAAGGACTAGTTATGAATCAAAGTATGTTTTATGTAGTGATGGCAAAAAAAAAACTCGTCCCGCCCCGAACGGGTTGGCGGGGATGCCCTGCCCCGTGAAGGAAAAAAAATTAAAAATAATTTTACTTCTAGACAATTCAGCCATCAAAATTCATTTTGAATTTGTATTTTATTCTCTAATAATTATATAACTCGAAACTTTGAAAATGTAAAAAAATAAAAAAAAAATTAAACAGGGCAAAAAGTTGTCCAGTCCCCGTGCCCCGCCCCGCCCCGCCACGTCTTGTTGCCATCCCTAATTTTATGTACAAAGTGGTATTAAACCAAGTTTTACAGATTTGCAAAGTAAATTGGAAATTTTTTTAATTAAATGTGTAGACACACATGTCAAGATTTTTAACACATAATCCTATTGAAAAGACTGGTGTTGGCACTAGTAGCCCGAGTATCGACACCAACCCTTCCGAGAAGTCAAATAATTAACTTTTAACATTCATGCGTCGACACCATGATCTCGAGTATTAATATATCTTGCCCATTGTGTTCCAAAGGTTTAAGTTAATCCCTAACTTTTAACAGTGTTGTATGATTAGATATTGATAGAAGTTGAATAAAGTTTGTTAAATCATACGTGAACTACCCGCATGTCCATTTTTAAGAAATTAGGTTTCGATTTTCAAATTAGACTAGTGTTCATAATTGTAAATTAAGATTAATGTTCACGAGGACAATATGATAATGAAAATTCAACAATTCTAATCATTCAACGTTAAATCCCTATTTGATTTGAGTAAAAATTATATTTTTAATAGATTTTGATAAAAGTCGGTGAAATATGTCGTTGAAAAGTTATAGACCCAATGAAATACTTGACTGAAAACAAGTTGAAGGAAAAATTAGGACCAAATGAGGGCTAACTGTGCAACGAAAATTAAAGATAAATAACAATTCTAGGGCTATAGAATAGGGAACAGAGGTACACCTGCAACAAAATATTGGTGGTCGATTTATTTATAAATTAAACTATTTTAGTCATCCTCAAAAATTGTTCAAAATGTCAAAAGAATTTCCGTTGCCGGGACTTGAACCCGGGTCTCTCGGGTGAGAGCCGAGTATCCTAACCAACTAGACTACAACGGAATTGTGTGCTTGTCTGTGTTATTTAGTAATTAATTGTAATATCAAAAACTTTTCCTTTCTAAGCAACTTCCCCAATCGAATGCAAGATAAAGTATATTTGGGAGACACCCTCTGCAATACAGGCTTCCTGTATATCTATTGAAATAATATGAGAATGAATGTTGCAATTTTGATTGGAAGGGAAGTCAACAAGTTTAGATTACAAATGAAAGAAACAATCAAATCATGTCAAGGCTATCATAAATCAAAATTTTTCAGGGAACATTTATGAATTTGTAACTGCTATTCGTGGGTCTCACATTGCTCGTAGAAAGATTGTCTTGTAAATTTATATACATTGGACACTCTCTTCTTACAAACTGGATAACGAGTAATTGGTACAAAATAAGTTTACAATGGATTGTGTTGTGTATTTGCTGCCTTCAATGTTACACTGGCAAGTTTTGTTTTTTACAGAAGCAAAAACATTAGTGCTAAAACTTAAAAGCAGAAGCCACCAAATATATTCGAAAGTGTTTTTCAAAATCTTTATTCTCTTCACATTAAAATTTTTGTCACAAACATACAGAAAAAGAGAGTATAAAAATCGAACTTCAACTCATCACGATTCAGTAGTTGGAGAATCATCTATCGGACGCCAAACTCTGTTGAAAAACCACATAGTATCAGCTTCTGCGGCATATCCATCCTGATTACGATGCCAACTATAGTAAGCATGGGTTCGATTCTTGATATCGAAAATGGCATGACCAAAGCTGGCCTCACGAAAAGCCGAGTATTTAGGCTGTGGTTCTGTCATGCTGAAAATAGTAGAGAATGCATTAGTTTATAAAGTCTTGCCTCCGAAGAAAATTATACAAGTGATCATGTTTGGCTAAGCTTAAAATTTATAATAAAGTAACTTTTCAGTTAAACCACTTATGAGTAACTTTTACATTTTTTTACAAAATCTTAGCCAAGCATGAATAAAAGCAAATTTCGGGACACTGATCTTACTTGGTGGCCAAGCCTTCAAGATTCCCTCCATCTCCAATGGTTATGTAAACCGGGGCCGACTGGTCAGGTACCGGAGTGCACAATCCGTTCACAACATTGTATGCAATGTTCGATACACGTTCCTATTACAATAAAAGATGGTTGTCAAGTAGTGCGAGAAGAAACTGAAATTTCAATAAAAGAAAAGATATGCCAATGGCTCATATGACTTGGCTTCAATTAGTTAAGGAGGAATGTCTGAAACACGTACAGATCGCTCATATGCGTGAACATGACCAGCAAATACAACATCAACTTTGTACTGGACGAACCATGGCTCGTACATAACTCTCATGGTTTCCCCTTCTAAAAAGTGGTAGTTATAGCTGTTGTACCATGGAGAGTGCATTAGAACAATCAGCCATGGCGTCTCACTCCGGTTGACCTTTGGTAGCTCCTCTTCAAGCCATTTATATTGAGGAGTATATTTTCCTTACAAATATAGAACAGTGAAAAAAATGGATAGTAAGCATCAAAGTACGAGATTTTAACACAATTCCAATTCCCAAAATAAGTAATTGAGTACTCATATATGCAAAAGGAAACCGTTATCATGAAGTAATATAATGCAACTAGTAAAAAGAGAGAATTGTTTATTAATCCTATAGAAAAACACAGGATTTTTGGCTAAGATTAAATATAAGTAAAAAGTCTTCTTTAATTTTTTGTCTCCAAACATATTTTTATATCGCTTCTTTCTTACTAAAAAGTTACTTATGTTGTAAGCTTTTCTTGAGTCACAGTAAAAAAAAAAAGTAACTTATTTTCAACTTCAACCAATGAAAATATATTTATTTTAAAACTTACTTGAAAGTAAGCGTTAGCTAAACATGCTCTAGGAATCACATGTAAGAGTGGACAGGGTTTTCCGATGTGTAGAAATACAAAACTTAAGAAATGAATTGATCCCACAGTTAGTCTTTTCAAAAAGCAAGGAATCAACTCAATTGTGTTTCATTCACCTCCCTAATACAATTAACCGGTCAAGTCAGTATGGGTTTTGTTTAATGAAATTTGCAACCAAAAGGTGAATACAAATTATAAAATAATGAGACCTATTCTAAGGCATATAGATGTTTACCATACGCTGAATACGAGGACAAAACAATGATGTATGCTGAAGCTCTCTTGATTGAGTACCAAAAGGGAGAGGTGCTATCTGATACTTCGTAAGGGGTGTGATAACGATGACTATATGGCTTAAAGGGTTTTGTTTCACCCTGCAAGAAAATAATCGAATACTTATTTATGAACTCATTTCCATGAAAAACTGGGTTCATATTAAGACAGACGAAGTGAATTTAGCACATGAGATGCAAGGAACTACAGAGAACGGTAAGATGTTATATGTTCAAATTTGTTCCTAGTTTAAGATGTTATATGTTCAAAATTGTTCCAAGTTTAAGGTGTTATATTGTCAAAAGTGTTCCTAGTTACACAAGATAAAGAATTTGTAGGAAGTATTTTTTTGGATAGCCATTTCATGTCTGTGATTCTTCTTTTCTCTATATGCTCAACTTGGAGATGGTAAGAACTATAGTTTTCATGCATTAGATTTTTGTTTTTGAATTATCAACCGTCATTACTTACATTGAAAACCTACTTGCACAGAGGTTTTTGGATGGGCTTTTCTTGAGGTGAAAAATGATGTATTTGTTAAAATAAAATGACTTTGTTAAAGATCAAGACATGGATGCTAGAAAAGAAATTCACATCAATGCAATTCAATTCTCAGTTATATGCTTTGTCGATTAAAAAGAAGAAAAGAACCATAAATTCCCTCCATTTATTAGGAATATTGATAACATTTATCCACAATGGAAACATGAGCAAATGAAGAATTGTTGCATAAAAAATTTGGATTTTTGAAGGAGCTGGTTTTGCTGTTAGAAAACGTTGAAGACAACTGAAATAAATAAAGTTGTTTCCTCTCAAGTAGTTTAAGCTTTTAGATGAGGTGGGTCACTATAATATTAGAATTGGTAAGGTCAAGGACCTGAATTCAAGTTTCATTGTGAACCATAAATGAAAATTTTACACATGTCAAGCCTTTAATGACAAAATGACCCTAGGCTGCACATCACATGACAAGTTGGAGACAATTTAAACTTGAGCTTTTTAGACAACCTCATATGAAAGGTTAAACTGTTTGAAATGGGACAAATATGTAATCATCCGATAATGCTAAAAATTATCAGTAATAGAGAAACCCACATATGATGTGACTAAGAACACTATGTTTCAGAAACGAAAATGATTTTGCATGACACTTACAATTTCTGGAGCAAAATCAATTTCATGATTCCCTGCAGTCCAAACCCAAGGTTGGTAAGCAACGCTTCTTTCAACAAACCTTCCCCATGTATCCCATCTTACATTGTCATGGTTAGGATAGTTGTCCGCATAGGAGAGGTCTCCAACAAACAACACCGTTTGTCCCTTGGCAGGATTTTTCTCATAATGTGTAAGCGTCGTGTTGGAGTCAAAACTTTGACCAAGATCCCCTGCATTAAAAATTGAAAAACACTCACATGCTTGTGTTAATAGCATGTTTGGAAAAGCTTAAAAGCACGCTAAACATACTTTTTATCCACACATTTTATAGGACCCATATGCTACCCACTTATTATCTACACACTTTTAGTAAGACCCACATCTTATAAGCACTTACAAGCATTGAGATTTTAGCACCTTGTTCATACAGAATAGCATTCAACTTAATGCCAAACAGATGTCACTTCACCTATCAGATCACCTAGTTTTCACTTTTTTAACTAACCACAAGCTATAACAAACTAAGCCCTCTTCCCGGTAAGTTTGGAGACGGCTATATGAATTGGTTTACGTGTTCATGTCACTCAGTTTGTTTCACTGCTTCAGGGTAAGATTATGGTACTCGCTACACATTACACTTGTATTCACTACACACTACACGGTCACCATAACCACCTTGTATTCACTACACACTACACGGTCACCATAACCACCTTCTTCCTGATCCCATAAAATTATTTTGAACATCTTTTGAAATTTGATGGTAAAATAAACATAAAGTGCATGTTTGGTATGCAGCACACACAATGGTATAATAGACAATATTTTAATTTCTTTTTCTTCTTTAATACCATCACGTGTTTTCCAATCCAAATTACCAAACATGCCAAATTTGTATTTAAGGAAACGCTAAGATCAATCTATTGCAGTACCAATGATTGAAGTACAGTAATGTATTATCAAGTCTTGAGCAAACTTCCACGAAATATTTAAGTAAGAAAGGATACCTATAAGACCAAAAGTATAAGGAGCATCAGGGCCAACTTCAGGGGGTGTTGTGAACCAGAATGTGCGTGTCGTGTGACCAATTCCAACCTCGTAGTAGTATTTGGTGTTGTACTACCACAAAGAAGTTAAAAATTTCATTCCAAATTGGCCATAAAAGAATCTCCGATATCATATCCTGTCCAAAGCTAAAAACGAAGCATACAAAAGACGGAATACCATTAAAGAAGTAAGAAAAATTCACCTCTAACTTTTTAATGGTGCAATGATGAATGTAACCAGAGGTATAATTCGAAAATTTATACTTGGTAAGCTTTCCTTCTGCTTCCTTTTTGTCCTTGCTATTCTCGCTCCAATACAGGACTGTATTTGAGCCCGGTTCGTCCACGGTAACCCATGATACAATCACCGCCTTTCCCAAATGATCTCCTTGTGTAATATGTACCTTAAGAACAAACAATTATTCAAAGATTCATAATTGAATCAATTTCAGTTAACGAGAAGCATCTATTTCTGAATAGCCCAAGTTCATAAGATACAATAACCAACTAAGCCTTCTTCCCAATCAATTGGGTCGACTATGTAGATCCTTTACTCCACTTTGGGTATCTAAACAACTTAAAAAACAAAAACAATAAAGAGAAGGAAAAATAATCCAATAAATCATACTTTTTGAAAAGCATGTATTCGTCTATATTGTGTTATTTAGTGGATAATAATTAAGAAGAAAAAGAAGATACGGAGAGACCTGTTGAGGCGCATTATAGCCAGGAGGCACACGGAAGACATCACTGTCAAGAGGCATATCAATAGTTTTCTCAACCTTTCTAACAAAACTACTTGTGATTCCTCCATTGCATAAAATCGCTGCATACAAAATTAAACCCACAAATCCCAGTACAGAAAATCTTGTTCCTGGAGCACCCATTTTGTTATCCTGCGCACCCAGAACCCAGTAACAGCCTACGCACCCTCTCCTTCAACAAAAGACTGTTCCTCACACAAGCATTTGTGCGAACAGGTTTGTTACAGGCTATGGGAGAATATTAATCATGAATTGTAGGGAATATTCAAGACTTTATTCGGATATATACACAATGTTTAGGAGTCAACGAAATTTTTCACATTGGGATTGGATATTGTCTTGAGTTTCGGACAAGTCTACGTTAATCTTCAAAGCCCTTAAAAAAATTATAAATAAAAGAATCACATGTCAATGATTTAGAGATGTGGCGTCATGGCGATTAGACTTCTTATCGAGGTGTGGCTAAGAAACATTATAGCGACAAGAAAAGAATCAATTGACAATCAATAATGTGAATGTGCGGAAAAATTAAGGTTAAATAACATTGTCGTATGGAGTTCAGCGGGAAGTTCGATAGTGTGAGGTTCGGGCAACAAACAAGATAACGGCTGTAATGAAGAAGAGTTAACGGTCTCAATTATTTTGAATTATTATTATAATTCAAAAACAACAACCCTGCTCCTTCTCCCGGGTTGGGAACAGGGTCAGGGACAGTGGCGCCCCCCTATTGGAGGGGAGCCTGCCATGTCTTCCTCCCTGTCCCCAACCCGGGACAGGGAGAATTATTCAACAAAATAATATAATCTTTTTATTGAATCATTGACATAAAAGGTCCCTATATTTTATATGTTTGACACAAGTTGTCTTCATCATTTCAATTTGACATGTTTCATTATCAGAGCAGGTAAACATTGTACAAATCGTTTTTATTGTGCATTTCTTCCATTAAAGCCTCGTAAAATGACGAATTTATCATCTTTTTTAAATGAACAAAAAGAAAATTAAGAAAAAAACTGCAATCAAAATCCTAAATTTTTCAAAAATTGCAAACAAGTCCCCAAAAAATTTAAAAAATGTTGTTTCTTCTCCAACCAACTTCATATACCCCAGCCCAACCCTCATGCACCACCACCACCACTACCACCCCTCAATGTTGGAAAAGAATTCCCTTTCTTTTTTCTTGTGGTAGTAGAGGAAGTTTTCTATGGAAGAAGATGAAAGAATATTTCATTTCTTTTTTCTTTTATTAATTTATTTTAGGTGAAAAATATAGAATTATCATTTTACCATTTAAAAAAAAAGGTGAAATGCTTGACTTTTGGCTAACTAAAGCAATTTTGGACGAACTGTCTAGAGGTCTTTCTATCGCACATGTTTAAAAGATTTGGGATGTATATACTATGATCTAAAGGTATGCTATATATTTGCACATCTTAAATACGTTTCGGACCGTCGCTATTTTCCTTAGTCCTTTCCTAGTGAAGTTGTGTCCCCTTATCATATTGATATGTTTAGTTTGTTTTAATTCCTGAGTCAATGAAACTCTTGATACCAACTAGGAAGAGATGCGACCTAGGTATTCTATCCCATAGACAGATAGTCGACTCAAGGCACAATATAGGGCCAGACTCTTAGGATAGCTAATCTTCCTTGTGGATCGTCGTAGTCTGCAGTACAATTACTGATGCTAAGAATCCTCGGGAGAGACAATAGTAGATCATACTCATATTAACTGCTCGAGTAGTTGATTAATATAATTTATTCAAGATTCATATTAGAATTTGTATACTAGTGAGAAAACACTACAGAGAGAACTTAGAAACTCGTAATGTTATATAACTGAAGATTTTACACAAATCAGATTATAAATTAAAGGTTGTTGTTTAATTTTATAATTTAGAATCACTATACTTTTATCGAACATAACATTTATATAAAAAGCTTCAACTAGCTTGAGTGCAAGGAAACTCAAGCACCCAACAACATAGCTCATGCTACAACAAAATTTTAACTCAAGTTAACCCCGAATCGATGGATTGATATTTTTATCTTAATTATACATTTTAGTAGATCCATCAATTTTAGATACTTTTTAATTATACATTTTTCAATGGAAAAATATCCTCGAACAAGCTTAAATAATTATTTACGATATTGGAAAGAGGTGTGTCACAGATCTCAAAAAATGCAAACCCTTGTGTGGTTTAAAAATATATTGATAGAAGGTACTAATATTTTTGAATTAAGCTAATTGTACACTCATAGGGTACAATTATTTTGATATAGTGTAAACGAAGTTGTCAATTATGGTGTAAGTATAGTGTTAAGATGATGTTCATGAATTAGAATGACTTAGTCAACAAAAATACACAAGATATCAGAAGAATTAACGAACAAGAACTGTAAAAATAAATTTCATTTAACGTTTGCCCTAAGGCAAATAACACCCAAAATACAAGTGCTTCCGTCAAATAAGAACCACCAATAGGATGAACCAGAACCAAGGTGTAAAACTTTCGATTTTTGCACTCAGACCATAACCACACGAGATTACATAAAATCTCAGCCTTCTCTCAATAATTGAATGTTCACACAAGAACATACTGCGTATACTCAATTCAAATAGAAATCACTCGAGATTACAACAAAATTGAGAGAGTAACATCAAATCAAAAGAGAGTTTTGATTTTCAGGGAAGAGAATACGAAGAACACGAATGGCCAAAGAGAAAAAGAAAAGTCCGGAAGAAGTCTTATGTCTCAAACCCTAGAATGGCATTTATAGGAGTCACCAAAGGTCAGTCATCTAATGGTAATAGGGTTGACACATGACATCATCTCGAGCGTCCATTCGGAAGAAGTCTTATGTCTCAAGCCCTAGAATGGCATTTATAAGAGTTACCAAAGATCTACCATCTAATGGTAATGGGATTGACACATGACATCATCTCAAACGTCCATTCTTAAGGCAAACACACGGTTCTAAGAACACGCTTCTGCAACAAACCAAAACTAACAAATTTAACAAATCGGTCAACACATCCACCCGGTTTTGCATTATTGTGCCATCCTTGCATATGGCAAAATTGCATATTTTTCTGTACAATTGCGAGGAATTTTCTATTGTCAAAAAGTGTCCACTAACACGTGATTCGTCAAAGTAAACGAGTAATGCTGTGGGTGGTGTGAAAACAAGCTTCCAGTCAAAGTTAGGTGTATAGTTATGGACATGAATGATAGTATTTTCCAGGAGGGTGGTGATTTACAATAAATTACTAATTTATTAATTAATTTTCGATAAATTGATCGTATTAATTTGAGTTTGTATTTGCTCGTATATCATTTTAATATTATAATCGAGTGTTTAAGTTGTTAAACAATGTTTCAATTTAGAATTTATAATCCATGATAGATAAATTAAAACGAGCACTATATTTTGACGAGATCATCTCAATTTTATTGAAGTATATTTTTTACTTTTTAAAGAAGATTGAAAGTATTATAAAAACGCATTATATAAAAATTTGTTTGTCTTCAAACTTATTTTTAGTCGCACATTCTTCTAATAAAATAATTTTACACACAAATTTAAAAATTTTCCTACTTTTTTAACTATACATTCACCAGAAAAATCTATATTATAAAATCTATTCTTTCAAAAATTGGGCTCATGCACACCCTAAAAGTCGTTTCACATCATATAATTATGAAATTGAGATTAAGAAAACAATATCTAAAAAAAAAAATAATGATATTATTATCATTTTACAAATTTGATAAAAATAAGGCGGGTGTGAAAAGGAAGTTGAAGGGCAGGATGCCTTTGTTTGAGCTCCATTTTGGAGTAAAAAATGAATTTTTGAATAGTGTATTAATAAAAATGTGTGGTTAAAAAATAAAAAAAAAGTCTTGAATTTACAAGTAATATTATTTTATTGAAAAATGTGTGATTAAAATTATATCAAAATACTGTAAAAAAATACATTTTTTTTTCCTAAATAATAGGGCTCAAACAAGGTGATAAAGCCCGTGGACCAATGACACCTTGGGCAAACCATAAAGGGCACTTATAGAAAATATCTTTAAAATTAGGATTTTTTATTTTTGAAAAATCATATGATAAGTATCTTAAAAAGTAAAAAATACTGTATAAAAGTAAGCGTCACTTTTTTAATTTAAAAATGACGCGGGTCAGTTTTTAATTAAAAAGTGGCTTATAATGTCACTTTCATTATTTAAAAGATTGAATGATATATGTTTTTGTGTGCATTAAATATGGAAAAAAATTCAAAAATTGACATAAATTCACAAAAGTGACAAACACTAAAAAAAAAAATGAAAAATACCTATCAAAACTTTAGAATAAATCGAGGTGTGGTTGATATTTTTTAGATGTTATCTATCTCTTTATGATTATATTTCACTTCATTTTTGGATAACAACACTCTATAAGTTGGAAGTGGCAAAAATAAAATATAAAATAAAAGTACAAACAAAAAAAAAGAAAAAAAAAAGTGAAAAAATTTTTAAAAGGCGACAAGGACTAAAAAAAGTGACAGAATTTTTAAAAAATGACAAAAAAATTCAAAAATCGACAAATATTAAAAAAAAAAAAAATGAGAAACGCCAGTCAAAACTTTAGAATAGATCTAGGGTGATTGAATTTTTTTGTTTCTTGTTTGCATTTTTTGTTTTTTGTTTTTTTTGTTTTTTTTACATAACACATTGCAGAACACTTTTCATTTGTTTTTTCAAAAAAAGTCATGATTTTAAGGGTATTTTTATAGTTCCCCAATGTATGTCAATCAATTTTTCAGGATCGGGACCATACTTGCTACTTGGCCTAATTTGCTTGAACCCTGCTATCTCTAATGCTTACCCAAAACACCAAAATGCACAAAAAAAAATGGGTGCAAAACACCTTCAATATAACATCAAACTTTGCACCATTTTGGTGCAAAATGTCCAAAGTCATTTTTACCCTTCACTTTCCTTTCCCAAATAAATTGATTAAGGGTATTTGTATTATTTGTGATATATATTATTTAATACAATAGATTATTATTATTATTATTATTATTATTATTATTATTATTATTATTATTTACATTTACATTTGAAATAAATTTTAAATGTAAAAAATAATAATTAATGAATTAATTAAAAGAAGTAAACAATTAAAATATAAAAAACACAATCATTTAAAGTTAAAGCGAAGTATATTAACGAGAACATACGTTAATCTAATTTAATTTAAAGAAAACGATACATAAAAAAATGCATAGTTTAGTAATCGAGAAGATCGCTTATAGATCCTCCAATATCGTCAAAATAATATTTCGATTTCGTAATATCATAATATCCAAATTCGAAATGCATTGTAATATTTTTTAATAGCATGATTTAATATTTTTATTTCTGTAGTGTTTTTACTAATTGTACTATGTTTTTATATTTATTAATGAAAATAAATTTTTCCTTAATTTAACGTAATTATTGATTTAGTAATTTATATATTTATAAATAAATTAAATAAATAATATTTTAAATAAATTAATTATAAAAAAT